ACGCTGAATGGTTATATCTATAATGTTTAATAAAGAATACAATTTTAATAAATATCAGGGAACTGTACAGATTCTGTTTAAGCACCCAGGACTGTCATGTCAATTGGATAGGCTGCTATTCCAGAGCCAGTAGAGTTTCAGCAAGGAAGGTGATGTCACAAAGCTGAAGAAATCCTACAGCTTTGTTGCTGTGTGATTATTGTAGGATTCAAGTGGTAAACTAACTACCTATCTCCTCATTAGGACTATGATGAATATTTGGAACTAAATATTTTCAGCCTAAAAGAGAAGTTTTGGTGCTCTCCAAATTCTTAATAAATGCTTAATTCTTTCACAGTAATTTGAAGTGTCTTCCTTTTGAAATAATTTTCTTTTCTGACGTTGGCAGGGCTTGTCATGTAACCTCTTCCTTTCTTTCTGGAGGATACCTTTTTTGAAGGCTCTATGGTCTTTTTTAAGAGCATGGAGGGAAAATACTTAGTTTGGAGCCCCATTCACTTACTGGGAAGGAAATAGTAGAAACATGGATGAATTTCTGTGGGGCTTGGGAGCATAGGTAAAAAACTTTCATACACCCCTTTTAAGTTCTCTGAAAACAAAAGAAAAACTTTTTTTTCACCTTAAACAATCTTCAGTAAAAAGAAATCTCCTTGAACCTTACAAGTTCTTTGCTTTTATAGCAAATTTATAATAATGTCCTGAAATTCTGCCATCTTGTGGATATTGAAGGAAAATCAAGCATCTATGTATAGCAGTTATTTTCTCAATCCTACATATATGAGGTGTGTTCAGAAAGTAATGAGAATATGTTAAAAATTCTTTTCTTGAAAAATTTTACATTATCTCCTTCAAAGTATGCACCTTGTGAGTATACACAAAGCTTCCAGTGATTTTTCCATTCTTCCTAGTATCCCTGAAAGTCTTCAGGTGGAATGGCATTCAGAGCCTGCATAGTGGCTCTTTGGACGTTATCCACACTACCAAAATGGTGGCCTTTCAAACCATTCTTCCTCTTTGGGAGTGTGATAAAGTTGCAAGGAGCCAAGTCAGGACTGTAGGGTGGATGGGGAAGCACCGTGATGTGTTTTTCAGCCAAAACCCCTTTTCTGTTCCTTTTTTTTTTATGAAAAGGGGCGTCCTGATCATTGTTCATCTTCAACACCTTCTCGTCCTTCCTTGAAGGCCTTATGCCATCGGTACAATTGTGCAGATGGTAGCACAGCTTCTCCATAAACTTTCCTCACCATTCCCAAAGTTCCTGATGCACTTTTACCCAATTTCACAAAAAAATTTATCGCACATCACTGTTCAAACTCATTTGCATTTTTCTTAATACAAGAAATTATTTTTAATAATAAATTATTTTTCTCCCAAGTTTTTAAACACATTTTCCTTTTATAATGTTATATTTTGCTTGTATGTAATAATAATAATAAATTATTATTTTTCTTAATTTCTTTTCTTAAGAAATACAGGTTACTCACCTATAACTGATGTTCTTTGAGTGGCCATCTGTGCATTCAACACAACCCACCCACCGACCCCACCAGTGTTGGTGACTGGGTATTTGTTTAATTCATTTACTCTGCTAATGTCTATGCATATATATATATTGTATACATGTTTTGTTGTCTTCAGGTATACATATTATATGTATCCTTCCTTTCTCTATTTGTTTGTTTCATTAGTATTGTTGTCTATATGAGTTGATTTCATTACCAACTCTCTCCACTTGGGGGCGAACGGGCATTCTCCAGCTGACTGGGGAAAGGCGGGGCACTCTGCCCCTTTATGCTAGGAGTGGGGAGGGTGCGGAGTTCCTGCCAAAAGCCATTAAAAGCTGTTCAATTTCCTGGCAACAGGCACTGCGCAGGCACAGCACCCATAATGTGTGATGTACAGATGGCTACTCGAAGAACATCAGTTACACGTGAGTAACCTGCCTTTTTTTCTGCTAGGGCCTCTCCAAAATGCCCCCTTTAAAGATCTCTGTAAGGTTATCTGAGGCTGCTTTTGTGACCCAAGAAAGCATGCACCATGGTTCTTTCCATGGTGACTGCAAAGGGTACAGGGAAAGAGTGAATCTTTAAAACCCTTCAGGAAAGGGAACCCAAAACATCTTACTGACCATAGGGATGCTTTTCACAGACAAGATTGCTCTCTGCAAGGTTTAGCCTCTAACAATAATAAAGCACTCTTCAACAAATAACAATGGGTTTTTAAAAGTAGTCTCTTGTCTCCTCTTGACTCAAAGGATGCACTGTTATGAACCCAATCCTTCAAGGACACACTTTGGTATTTTAACTCAAAACACACCAAATCAGTGAGACTCTTTTATTGCCACAAATCTCATGACAAAAATCTTATGGCTATAGTCTTAAAAAATCAACTGATGACAGTTAGCTATAGGTTCCATAAGTACTTTTACAGCAATTCAAAGCTAATACCTACAGATATGTCAGATAATTTTTTAACTTGGTTCCATTGTGATAATTACAGCTCAGAGTACAGGACAAGGGACTCACTGATTTCTCAGGTAAATCTTCCCATGCAGTCAAACCGAGGGTTCTAGAAAAAGACCTGAAAAAATCCACACATGCAAAGGATTAAACCAACCTCAGAATCTTCATTGGAACCTCTTCATTACATGGATCAAACCTTTTCACATGCAAGAGTCAGATCAGGTGTCAAACTTAGTCCAGAGCAATCCCTCATGCCCAAAGCTTCAACAATCTAATGCCACTTTGGGAACGCCATGCTACATGCAAAACTGAGAGAAGAGTTGAGGCTTCTAAGCACATTCCTTGAATCCTGAGAAGTGAGGGAACTTAACAGGGTTCTCTCTAAAGTGGCCCTTATGCCTTTGTGTTATCCACAGCTGAGGAAGTGAGGGCAGTCGGGGCCACATGACCACCTCCCAAAAAATGCATGAGGATTCTAGGGTGCTTTTCACATGTGCACACACACTTTTTTAAAGAGTGAAAAAATAGTGGTAGACTATAACATCATGGTTTGGCATGTACACTGTTTGCATGCAGACAAGGGCCCATGCTAAATTTCAATATTGTAGCTCCCTGTTAACTATTGTTATCTTTTTTATGGTGGGGTGAACGTATCCTTTGCAGTAGAAGCCTTGGTGGGGGGCTGATGGTGCTCTTATTTTCCTAATTGTGGATACCACAGAGACTCTTTTCTAAAAAGTCAGTGCCACAACTGTGGCTCAGCGGACAACTCAGTGCAGACAGGCAGGGAAATAGGCAAACTGGCAAGTTCTGGGGAAAAAAAAAAACAGTAATGCTAAATAGTTAAGGCAAAGCTAGACTATTTTCCAAGCCAAGACTCAGACCTGGCTTGGAAGCATTGCTAGCTAAGGCTGGAAGAACCAGTGAGCTCACGGGATAGAACCCCTTCTGGCTTCTACAGTGTAGCCTTAGGTGGGTCAAGTGGCACCATCATGTCAAAGAAGTAGTTCCTGGTTCAAATCCCAGCAAGTCTGTGTAGGTGTCGTTCCTTCCCAGGCATTTCAACTGTCTCCATAAAATAACTCCCATTTGCAGAACTCAGGTTGTCCTCTTTATTGAGATCAGTTACTATTTGGGGAGTACAATGTCATTTTGAAAATATTGAAGAATTCCCAGTTCTTAGCAACATTATTCTGTTAAAATAAAAAGCAACAGATGGTAAAGGGGGAGGGCAGTGGGTACTGATGTTTAAAACAGCAGTATGGTATTACATGTCACTGTGATAGTAGAGTGTTACTTAGTGCTCAGTATTACTATATTGGTTGTCGTTAATGTTCAGCTGATTTAAGATTGGGTAGATAAATTAATAAGAGCTCCATCTTATTGTTTAATAACCTGCCTCACTAGGTGCAACAAAGGAGCACATGATTAAGTTCCTAAGCATTAGGCACAAAAGAAAGTAATTGATCTTCACATACAAATGTTACAAGTACCACAATGAGATATTATTAGCATTATGATGGTAATAGTTATAAGGGCAATTATCTGTTCTGGGAATTCTGTTTCTTACTGCAGAGTGCTTTTGGATGTACAAAGGAATCAAGATAATATGGCTGTAACTCAGTAATGTATGAGTAGCTGGGTCCGACTATTGGTTCTGCAAGGCAAACACATACCAGGGCAGTTCATGCCAGCAGCAGCAATGGGAAAACTCCAGCTGTGTTTGCAATATTTATTTGTTGAAAGATCATTTATGTCTCTTACATATGGTAAATGTCACACACTTGAAGAACGTTGCCATTAACTGGTAAATTTTATGATTTTAGAAAGCTTAGCGGGAAATACTAGAAATATTTGTTTATTGAAGCTTGTGTTTGGAATTTATTTTCATGGCATGATAAATATATTTTACTAATAATGAGAAAGGGTTGGGACATTGCTGAACAGAGCACTTTGAGAAATTTTTGTAAACATGAGAATTTTATGGCATTTCCATCTGTGTCCCTTCAAATCTTACTTATAAGTGAATTCTTAAGAATTATCCATACATGTTAATGTTCCATAAGATTTTTGATATACTTTATTGAATTTTACCAATCACATTTAGGTAATTCTCAGTATTCATCAGTTTATTTCTTGGGTTTGGGACATTCACTACATGTTTACATTCTTTATAACATATATAAATTTAAATAAACATAAGGAGAAGTGCATCCTCAGAGCAAGGCTAGTGAAAGAATAATATTTCAAGTTCTTTGGACACAGCCTCAGATTCCTAGGATACAGTAATAGACCACACCCCAGATGGAGCTGAGACATATTAAATTCATGAATGCCAGCCTCAACCATTTAAGAGACTGAGTAAGTCAGAGCCTGAGATTTTTTTTCCAATGGGATTCCTTTCTTAATTTTCAGGATAAAATTTTTCAGAACAGAAATTAGGTCAGGTGAACTATTCTAGTTTAACAGCAGTATTGAAGAGAGAGAGAGAAAAGACATCCCCAAACATCTATGTCATGTGTTTGTTTTTACTTTCAGGAGCGACTCCTGATGAGCCTTTTGCCCAGGAATGTTGCCATGGAAATGAAGGAAGATTTTCTAAAGCCACCTGAAAGGATTTTCCATAAGATTTACATTCAGAGGCATGATAATGTTAGGTAAGATGGATGTGAGGGTGCAGTATAAGTTAAATCATATTAATGTTTAATATATACATATAGTGATATGTGCAGTGGTTGCTCGTTCTGCTGAGAATGTATCCATGCAAAGGGCAGGGTGGTGGTTTTGTCCATGGTTTATTGTATGGAGTAAAGCAATAACTGACTGCACACATCAAAACAGAGATGAGGTAAAGGTGTGCCCCTCTGAAGATAGGTAAGCCTCCTACCTCTGTGCTGGCCCTCTAGTTGGCTAGCCTTTCTGTCCCAACACCTCATGGGGTGAAGGATGGAACCACACTCATCTGGCTCCTCTCCCAAGCCTCCTCCTGGTACTTGCAAATTCCCTGGTTCTGCCTGAACACCGGCAGATGGCAGTCCTGAGATAAGTTTTTCCTCCTCCACTATCTCTATGTCTGCAGGCCTCCTTTTCCCAGGTCTCACTGTCCTCACCCTAAGACTTGGTGTCACCCAGGTCCTGAAAGACACACCAAGAACAATGGCCTCTTTTATTCCCTCATGAGTGCAGCATGTGCTTGTGTTTCCTAGCAAGTGGTATACAGAGGAATGCTACCTCTGATACTGGAGATAATACATACTCATCATGACTGCTAGCCATTCATAACCTTATCCTCCATGCTTTACAGGATATTTCTTAAAGTAGCCCAGAAACTGGATCTCATTTGTCATTTGAAATCAAAAGCAGCTTCATGCCATGCCAAGCACCACTTTCAGACAGCTGGTTGCACTGCCCATTGTTTTGTTTTTAGAATTCCCTTGTTTTGGTGGCCATGGTAAATGCTTCCAAAACATAACCAAACTGTATAATGCAGAGCCTGTTTTCCAGATTTCACCATTTTTGACAAGCCAAAATTACATTGACATAGTATTTTCTCATATATGAAGGCACATAAAGCATTTCTGTCTTTGCATAATCAAATTGGCCCTTGTTTTAATCTGGTAGGTAGTGATAATAATATGCACCACTTACATAGGCATCAAAGTACCCATCTATTTTCTATGTTTAGTGTTGATCTCAGTATAAAAATAATCAGATTCTGAACTAAATTTAATTATTCTTTGATCTTCATAGAACTGTGCTTCTTTCTTCCTTTGTGCCTTCCCAAGCTATTTTAATGAAGGCTATCCCAGGTCATTTTCATGCAATTTTATTTTATGGGTAAATGGAACTCCCAATTAGAATTAATTGCAGCTGTTGTTTCCTTTCCAAACAATGAACCCTCTCAATGATTTGTTTCTTGAAGTCTTTGAACCCAAACCCATGATCCTTTGTGGGGCATCTGTGCATCACTTACATGTAAAAGGCACAGAGCAAAGAACTCTTATAATCACTTCTGCTCCCAGTACTTAAGCTATGAAAAGCATGAAAGCCTCTAAGCACTGTATCAAAAGAGAAAGATCAAGGAGCTCAAAGCTGACATGAAGCTTGGAAGGAAAATAATTGCCCAAGAAGATATGGTATTTTCTTAGGCTGGAGCATGTGTATATTTCGATATAATTCTGAATGTGTGGGGTGGATATCTTTCAGAAAGTTTTACTTAAAATGATACACATTAAAACAAATTTGGATTGAAAACATCAGACTTTGGAAACTTGCCAAGAAAAAGATCACATTAGTTCTCCATTTCTAAAAAGAGGGGAGCTTGAATTAAATCAAATCAGTTGTGTAGAAGTAGAAGGCCTTCTGCACATGGTTAGAGTCTTTCTAAAGTAATGACATTACATATTCCAGGATTTAGTTTTGTTATTGCAAATAGTACCTTGGGCTGATATAATTTATATGACCTTTTGGAACTCCTTTCCCCTTCCCACACACATGTGGGTTTCTGCTTGAGATAATTGATCTTCTAGAGTAGGAGATAGGAGGTTTAGGTAGAAAAATAGTTTGTACAGGAAAATATGGATGCAGCTGTTGGTCCTTTGTTCCTAAAATGCAGATGTGGTGATATAGAAAACATTCTCTGCTGATTTTGCCTGTTATATTGGTGCAAAATAATCATATACCCTGTTAGAAAAAGTTGCTAACTGTAGCTTTAAGCCAAATGTAGTTTACTTGGAAATAAGTAAAATGCACCCTTTTAGGTTTTGTTGTTAGATTTTTTTTCATTTTCCAATGTAACACAGACTAAAAGGTAAATTAAAGACATTACGTCCAGTCATGCCTGACTCTAGGGGGCGGTGCTCATCTCCATTTCCTAGCCAAGGGAGCCAGCGTTTGTCCGCAGTCAGTCTCCGTGGTCATGTGGCTGGCATGACGAAAAACCGAAATGCACGGAATGCTGTTACCTGCCCACCAAAGTGTACCTTTTTATCTACTTGCATTTGCGTGCTTTCGAACTGCAAGGTTGGCAGGAGCTGGGACGGAGCAACAGGAACTCACCTAACACAGATTATAAACCTACTATTTATTGCCTTTTTACTGATTCTGATTCCAGAGCCTGACATACCAAAATTAAGAAGGCAGAGCTTTTCTTAGTGTAGAATCATGTATAGAATTTCACTTACTACATGCCCAGCAACTGTTAATCACATAGATGCATGGTCAATAAAGAAATGCTGGCAGCTCTTAAGAGTAAGCCCCATTACTTCTGAATCAACAGGATACCAACTGAGAATAACACTTCATGCATTTAATGGGGTAGAATCTAATCCACAATAGCAAATGCCATGAGAAATGTCTTAAAGGATCAATTCTGTGAATGTCTAGTCAAAGAAAACGCCTACAAGTCCCAGCATGCTTCAGCCAGTAGGACTGGGAGACCTTTGGGAGGTAGGGAAGAGATGCCTCAGGACTCCTGCTATCCTCCATCATTTGATGGGCACATGGGGACCCAAAAGTAAGAAGCCACAGAGTACCTACAAGCCATCTATGTAATGATGTGTGTCATGAGTACTCTCCTTGTTTGGATATGGTGTGTCTCTAAATTTCTCACTATTTTCTTCTCTTTCTCTAGTATGTAACACTGCCACCAGGAATTTAATTCTAATCTCATTAAGAGTACTGTGTCCAATCTATAAGGTTGCTTTGTTGGACTATGCGGTCCTGAGGATAAGACACTGATTTTCAAAAATTCTATGACTGAGTTAATAAACAAAACAAAACTTTATTTGTACAAGAGAAATATTAATTTTAAGATATTCTGCAATTTATTGGAGAATAAAACCGTATATTAACTTCTGACTGAGGTATCCCTCTCCCTTCACAAACACTCCTTACTTGCAGATCCTCCTTACTCTCCTGATATACTTTGATCAGTCTTTATTTATCTCAGTTTAATCTTTCCTTCTGCACTCAAGTGTCTATTAGCTTCTATGTTTCACACCCTTATACTTGACAATATTAGGTTTTGATTCTACATAGTCACTTATATGTCCTCCAAGTATTTTATTTCATTCTCTTTGCCCTTTGTTGTTGTTGTTAGTCGCGAGGTCGTGTCTGACCCATCGCAACGCCATGGACGACATTCCTCCAGGCCTGCCTGTCATCCACCATCTCCTGGAGTCCACCCAAGCTCAGACCAACTGCTTCAGTGACTCCATCCAGCCACCTCATCCTCTGCCATCCCCTTCTTCTTTTGCCATCTATTGTTCCCAGCATTAGACTCTTCTCCAGGGAGTCCTTCCTTCTCATTAGGTGGCCAAAGTATTGAGTTTCATCTTCAGTATCTGGCCTTCTAAAGAGCAGTCAGGGTTGATCTCCTCTAGAACTGACCGGTTTGATCACCTTGCGGTCCAGGGAACTCACAGGAGTCTCCTCCAGTACCACAATTCAAAGGCCTCAATCCTTTTGCGCTCAGTCTTCCTTATGGTCCAGCTTTCACAGCCATACATTGCAACTGGGAAAACCATAGCCTTGACTATACGCGCTTTTGTAGGCAGGGTGATTTCTCTGCTTTTTAGTCTGCTGTCTAGATTTGCCATAGTTTCCTCCTCAGGAGCAAATGTCTTTTAATTTCTTGGCTGCAGTCCAAGATGATCTTGGAGCCCAGGAAAATAAAATCTGTCACTACCTCCATTTCTTCCCCATCTATTTGCCAGGAAGTGAGAGGACAGGATGCCATGACCTTAGTCTGCTTAATGTTGAGTTTCAAGCGAAGTTTTGCGCTCTCCTCCTTCACCCGCATCAAGAGGCTCTTTAGTTCCTCTTCACATTCTGCCATGAGAGTGGTATCATCTGCCTACCTGAGGTTGTTGATATTTCTCCCAGCAATCTTAATTCCAACTGGTGATTCATCTAGCCCCACCTTTCTCATGATGTGCTCTGAATAAAATTTAAATAGGCAGGGCGACAGTATACAGCCTTGCCGAACTCCTTTCTCAATTTTGAGCCAATCAGTGGTTCCGTGTCCAGTTCTCACTGTTGCTTCTTGACCTGTATATAGGTTTCTCAAGAGACAAATAAGATGGTCTGGTACGCCCATCTCTTTAAGAACTTGCCCCAGTTTGTTGTGACCCACACAATCAAAGGCTTTAGCATAGTCAATGAAGCAGAAGTAGATGTTTTTCTGGAACTCCCTAGCTTTCTCCATGATCCAGCGTATGTTAGCAATTTGAACTATAGTTTTTCTCCCTCTTCAAAATCCTGCCTGTACTTCTGGTAGTTCTCGGTCCACATACTGCTGGAGCCTAGCTTGTAGAATTTTGAGCATACCTTTGCTAGCATGTGGAATGAGTGCAATGGTTTGGTAGTTTGAACATTCTTTGGCATTGCCCTTCTTTGGGATCGGAATGTAAACTGACCTTTTTCAATCCTGTGGCCACTGTTGGGTTTTCCAAATTTGCTAGCATATTGAGTGTAGCACTTTTACTGCATCATCTTTTAGGATTTTGAATAGCTCAACTGGAATATTGTCACCTCCACTAGCTTTGTTGTTGCTCAGACTTCCTAAGGCCCGTTTGAATTCACATTCCAGGATGTCTGGCTCAAGGTCAGTGACCACCCCATTGTGGTTATCATGGACGTTAAGCTCTTTCTTGTA